CAACATTTTACCTTAGGCATAAAAATAATCTTTTAGGCTGGAATGCATTCTGATATTCATCACCTGGAAAGAAAACATTTAGAGTATGTGTGGTCTTTAGTGTTAGCATGGTGTAAACCAGAGAACGTTTTATTACTAAGGGAAGCTGACTGCTGCTTGCTGCAAGTCCATGGTTCTCAGCATTCTGGTTCAAGCAATGAGAAGAAAGGCAGGGTTACCCTGACAGACATCAGGGTTCAGCATCACCTTGAGCTTTGGCACCTCCAGGTCTCTATAGTCACAGACACAGGATGCAGTGAGTGAATTGGGGTGAAACTGTTGGTTTGTGCATCAGTGATGCTTCATGCCAGTCTGAACTGCTCATGGCCAGCTTTGTTTTCTGGCCTTAATATTTTCACATATTGCAAACACAGATTCTGGGCTCTGGGCTTGACACGTGGGACTGATTTCAGCAGGAGGAGCTCCTGGACATGGACCTGGCTATAGCAGCAGCTCTGGTTCACTCAAGGAGCTATCCAGAGGGAAGGCAGGATTAATCCTGCTCATGGGACTGATCATCTCAGTGTGGTACAGACCAAGGCAGTGGCTGGTCCCCATTATGTTTCAATCCCTGGCTATTGTCCAAGCAGGGTGTGAAGCTCCTGGCAGAGGTGGTATGTTCAGCTCTGGGTTATGCTGACCACAACAGCACCCCACAGTTACAGAGGTGAGAATTTGGCCTCATGCAAATCCATCTGAGATAAATTTGTAGGTGTATAGAAAGACAGAGATATAAAACATCTTGATATAGAATTAGGATAGACCCAGGACTAGAAAAGTTCTTTGATCTGGCTTCTTACCTGTTTGTGTCCTAAAGAGGAGCCAGTTTCCATTCCATTTCTTGGCAAGAAGAGCCTAAAAATGTGGTTCAGTTTCAGCCAGTCTGATCTCTGCATGAAGGCAAATCCATTTTCCTCTCTCTGTTTCCCAGGTTATAGCAGTCCCTGGGGCAGCTGCCTTTGTAGCAGCTACAGGCAGCAAATCCAGCCAGGCAGCTGGAGCTGGGGCTTGTACTGAAGCTTTTGGCCAGGGTTTGCTCCTGTGGAGTTGAGGGAGACAGGTCACACACTGACTGACTGCATGAGGGGAGCTCATCTGAGTTTTGGTCTGTTTTATGGAGGTGTGCAATAATTTATTATCTGTGCAACTGGATCAGAGCAGAGCTAGAAGTGATGTCTGTCAACTGCTGAGTGGCAAATTTTATTAAAAATCCTAGTTCACACATTCAGAAAACTTGTGATAATTAGTCAGTTTGAAAGGATCATACTTTTTTCCTAGCAGGGAGATGTTGTTAGCTCAAGAAAGAGAATTTTTCTTGCCTCCTTCTCTTGCTCTCTCTCTCTCTCTGTGTTACATTTTTTTTCACTGCTATGTGCAGCTCTTATGAACTTGGACCTGAACTGGAATTGCTTGAATTGTTACATGTCTTACTTAATTGTGCAAATTGCTTTCTGTTCCAAGGACTAGTTAATGTAGAAATGGAAAGGATTAGGACTGTTGGGATAAGTGATCATTCCATCTTTTAATGTTTGGTTTAGTATAACAATAGTTACTATGTCAAAAGCAGATCCCGACTCTGCCCTGTCACCCTTTCATGCAGGCAGAGTACTCACACAGGACCTGAGTCTTCCCTGCCCTCTTTCTTGTGATAGATCCAAAGTACATTAGCCAGCAGGAAACATCCATAAATCAGCTGAATGGATTCTGGGCTGAGGCTTCTTGCCCAGGCAAAAATAAATGGCATTAGTGAAAAGATGCCATCAGGAAGTGATATCCTTGCACAGGATTGGGTCGCCTTTTAAGTCCCACATTACAAAGAAGAAACCAAACAGAAAAAAAATTGACATAAACTACCAGGTCTGTATAAAGACAGTGAAAACAGCATAGATTGCCTTAGTAAAGTATGCAGTAAAATGGGCATTATTCTAGCCTTTACCTGCCTCTCAAATGAATATGAACTGTTGAGTCAGTGCATGGGCTCGCCTCATACTTGAATTATTGAACTGTAGTTTGCATGATTTTAAAGGGTTTGTCCACTCACTGGAGTGTGGTTTTTCTGCAAAGTAAAAGAAAAATGTTTTGCTTCTTAAACCCATCCAGTTACTACCATGTGTAAGTAGATGTGTTTCAGGTCATTGCAAAGACTGGGGGCTTGCCAAGAAAACCATTTTTCTTGCTGATTTCTGTTACTATGTTAACACAATAGGGAAAATAAAGTGGGGAAATATCACACCCTTTTCTGATGTTATGTGTGGCAGTAGGAAGCTGGTGCTGCAAAATCACAGTTTTGTGTAATGTGAGATTTTCCCTTGTGCCTGATGGAGCAGGAGCACGTTGCACCATTCAGTGAGAGCACTGCTGTTGTGGCCATGGTAATGGAGCGGGATATCAGCAGAATCAGGCACACAGAGTTCCTGGCAGTGCCTGTGTGCTGCTCCCATTAACATGGTCAGGATTTTACAGATGGGTTGAGAGCAGTGCACAGCCATTAGCATTTAATTTTTTACAGGTGAGTGCACACTATCTACATGCAACAAAGATGGGTGAAGATAACAGTTCACTACTACCAAAGTCCAGGGGGGGGTTTCCATGCAGGGCATCCCCATCACTGGTGCCTGGTTTTCCAGTAACCAGGCTGACAGACACCCAATATGTGACCTGTCCAAATAGCACAGTGCAAGTGTTGGAGTGACTTTGGGAGTGGAAATAATTCAGTTCTTTTGGAAGTGATGATGTGTCTGCCTTCATTTGTGTGCTGAATGGGGAAAGAGCACTGATACTGTACCAACACTTGGCAGGATTACATTAATGATTGGACTTGATGATCTTTAGTATCTCTTCCAACCTAAATGATTCTGTGACTCTATGCCAGATCTCTGCACAAAAAGGAAAGTTATTTTTCCTCTGTGCTGGGCATACCTGGCTTTGTTGGGCTCTGATTCCCCTGCATGATCAGGGGCAGGTCAGGGCTCTCAGAACAAGATGTGGGATTTCATGTGGTACTCTCTGGGTGGTTTGTGGGGTTTTTTTTATTGTGTGACACCAGTTGCAGGATTTCAGTGCAAGCCCAGTGAATATCAACTTCTTGTATAGACCTGTGTGATAGGTGTCTTCAAAGATAGGTGTCTTTGCAATTCCCTCTTTTTTTGCCATCTGACATCCCTCTGACTGGATGGCTGGAGGAGAAGGCACCTGAGCCTCATGGTCCCACCTGGGGCCCTGCAGAGCTCTGCCTTCACTCTGCAGCTTTGTCTTCAGCCTCACTCAAGCCCTGTTGAGCATCTCACCATCCTTAACACATTTTTCCTTGGACACCTGCTCCTTTAGGAAGTTAGTAATTTAAAAGGAGAATTTGAGTGGCAGTCTGAGGGTGCAGAGAGGAGAGGAGCTGGCTCAAGGGCTGGGCTTAGCACTTTCAGTCTGGTCCTCTCCTCACCTTTAAGTTATTTGTATGCATAGTTGGCTCCCCAAGCTGATTGGCACTGAATGAGTCGGGATAATGTCATGGTTGCCCACGAAGCAGTGCCAGCATGAGAGCATAACCTTGCCAACACAAGGGCATTGATTAGAGCAGAGGAACTAGGGCAATCCAATTATAACCACAAATGCCATTGGCTTTCTCAAATTCTTACTCAAATAACTGCAGACTCTCTGCTGTATTAAGGTGGTCTGGACTATATCAAGAAAGGGGAATTTAGAGGACTTAGGTAGTACAGAGTAGACAGGATTTAATTCTTAACTGCTGTATTGCCTATTTACACATAGGGCAAAAGGATAGTATTTTTCACATAGGTAGAGGCTGATCCCCTTTACCTGCTGTGATACTGCAGAACATATTTCTTTATTTGGAAATTATTACAAATATTCCTAAAAGGAAATTATACAAGAAAAAAATAAGAAGTTTCCTATCATTTCAATCTTGTTTGAGTACTGAATATTCCTTTGTTCCATAATATTATGCTTCCTCTAACCTACTCAATGGGTCAGATAAGGAAATGTGATATTTTTCACCACCATGACGAAATTAAACTAAAGCTACAAAGAGCATGAGGGTTGTAGCCTGGAGTCGTAGATGAGTAGTTCAGATCTGGCTTTATATTAAATGCAGAAGTGAACAGTTTTTTGTGGATGAATCACATTCAATTAGCTACTTCCTATGATGAACTGATTAAAAATTAAGTGGCATCAAATAAGCCTAATTTTGCTCTTACATTTAAATAATGCTATAATTACATACTAATCAGATGGTAAATCTTAATTGTACACGTTCCATATGTTTTATATGCCTGTTCTCCCTCTTCACTTTGTCGTCTTTGTATCAGCATGGAGTATATTTTCAGGCTGCTTTTATGTTTGGCCTAATTGAATATCAAAAGCAGTATATGTGAAACTTCCTGAATTCTATTCTTTCGCCAGTGGCAGCTGTGCTATTAGATGACCTTTACCATTCCTGTAGCACAGAATAATAAAGGGAGGGGGGGAGCTGAAGCCCAGCCGTGTTATTGTTAGAGACAGAAATAAATCATATATAATTGCTTTGCTGTGAAGGCCAAATCCTGCCGTCCTTCATGCCTGAGTTAGAAATACAGGATTTGGACCTTTGTTTCCTGTGGTTTCCTGGCCACCTTGGACGTGCCCAGAATCCTCACACTGCTGCTGCAGTGGCTAATTACCATTGCAGGGCTCCATCCCTCCTGCACAGACCAGGAGCTGGCTCTGTTGCAGGGAATGTCCACCTCTAAGTGCTGCTGGCTTCCCCAAGATGGCTTTAAAAATGAAGCCTTAGATGTTGGATTACATGGTGGGCTTCCACTGAGTGCTTCTGTTTCAGTTCCCTGCTTGTTTGGAGCAAGCCCACACAACTTTGTTGAGGCAATAGGTATTTTGACTTAGCATACACATGGTATTAATTTTATTCACTCCAGAATGTACTGTATGTTTTTTCTGCCTTTTGACCATAGATCATGACCACAGTCACAAAAAGAACAAACGGAAACACTGGAGAAGGCAGTGGGCAGAGAGCAGCATATTGTCTGACGTGGAGATGTTGAAGCACAGCCTGGAAGTGAATTCTTTTTCTGGGGACAGCAACAAGACGGGGACCATTGGTGAAAAGAAAAGCCACAAGCGAACAAAGCGGTTCTTGTCCTACCCACGTTTTGTGGAGGTGATGGTGGTGGCTGACAGCAGGATGGTCGCCTACCATGGAGCCAACCTTCAGCACTATGTCTTAACCCTGATGTCAATAGTGAGTGTTCAACTCAACAAGTAGATTCACCCACAAATCATTTTCTAGTGGTCACAGAGCCCCTCTCTGCTGTGCTCATATGCAACGCCCCAGATAATGCTGGGGTTGCATCAAAAATGGTAAAACATGGCTGGTTGGAGTCTTCTTTCCCAGATCCATCATGCTTCCTGATCCTTCTCACACCTCTCTTCCAGCTTTCTGAACATCAGATACCATGAGCAATATCACTGGTTGTTTAGTCCTCATGCTGTACTTTTCTTTTTATTTAAGCCCATGTGAAATAACAGCTGAATTAAAAAGGTTCTTTGGGCACTGTGCCTTCCAGGGGCCTGAGGCTGGTAGGTTATGCAGTTGCCTGACTTCCTTTGCTGTTGCAAGGAGGAGTCTGTTGTCACCTTGATCCTTAGCATAGTTCTCAAGTTGGCTTTCCAGGCTGAGAACAAGCGCCTTAGGAGCTGCAGGTACTAGTATGCAGTAGTTTCCAGACAGGCAGTTCTGTAGATTCAGAGTGACTGGCAGGGAGTACCCAACACATTTGTGTCTCTGGAGGGATGTTCATCCTGTCTGAGGGTAGAAGTGCACTGAATGCATGGTCTGAAACTGCCCATGTCAAAATCAGGTGCTTGGAAGAGTAAGTTGCTTTTGAAAGTCTTGTTTGGTGGTCTTTGTGTCTCAGAGCAGAATGATCCTTTAATTTGGTGAAATGTGTGCTAAAGCAAAAGGAAATGTTGGGTTTCTCTGATATCAGCAGGTTTTTTTCATTCTCAAATTGTGCTTCTGCCAGGAGGTCTCTCCAAGTAGCATCAGAGCGCTGAACAGGGCAGAAGAGCAGCCCAGGAGAAAAACAGTTGCAAAATGGAAAATATGTGTGTTGTCTTAATTGTTTGTTTCCTTGAATGTTAACAGTAATTCCAAATATTGCTTTTTTGAAACAGGTGGCGTCTATCTACAAAGACCCAAGCATTGGAAATTTAATTAATATTGTTATTGTGAAATTGGTCGTGATACATAATGAGCAGGTAATGGAAATTATTTTCTTCACCTTCTGCTTGACAATGGCATTTGTAGTGAGCATTGTCATGAATAATTAAAATACCTGCTTTCTGTGTGTTGCTTATCAGGATGGCCCTGCAATATCTTACAATGCCCAGACAACATTAAAAAACTTCTGCCAATGGCAGCAGTCCCAAAACCACCCAGAGGGAAGTCACCTTCGACATGATACAGCTGTGCTTGTTACCAGGTGTGGTGAATATTCTCATGAAAACTGTAGCCAGTTGTGTGTCAGGGGCTGTGAGCATGTTATGTATGGGAAATGTTCAGGTTTTGATATGGGTGAAATGATATTTGCAGTTGTGGGAGCATGTGTTCACCGTAACAAGAGATAATTTTGAGAGGTTCAAGGCTGTCTAAGGTCTGCCCATGGGTTTAGCATAAGATGAAAAACTCTGACTGTGGTGGGGAGTTAGTTTGGATGATGTGGCAAACCAGCCTGAGAAGGTCCATTGAAGGATCAAGAGTTGTTTCTGCTGTTGTTACTGTGCTTGTGCCTTAACTCATTGCAGCATTGAGAATTAATGTGTCAGGTCTGTTCTGCTTTCAGACAGGATATTTGTAGAGCGCACGACAAATGCGATACTCTGGGTAAGGAAAACCTTTTCTTTGTCACTTTTTTTTGTAGTGACAATATTAGTTGCCTGTTCTGAACGGTGAGTGACATTTCTTTTTCCATCATAAACCTCTGTGTTCTCTCCTAGGTCTGGCAGAGCTGGGCACAGTCTGTGACCCATACAGGAGCTGTTCAATTAGTGAAGATAACGGACTGAGCACTGCTTTCACAATAGCACATGAACTTGGCCATGTGTATGTTCTATGTAAATACATTTACATTTAAATAGCCCAATATTTATGCTAACTAGGGCTTGCCAGCCAGGCTGGGAACTGATACTGCTGAGCTTAATTATTTGAGGAGAGATCAGTATATTTGGCTAGAAGATGCACCACTGAGGTAGATGAAATTGAGGTGCTCTGGAGCCTACCTGAGAGCAGCCAAACCAGCAGGGCCATGTTTTGGGGAGGATAAATGATAGAGAACCACAAGCAGCACCTAAGAAATGACATCTTGACCAAGCTATTGGAACTAGCCAGGGTTTTGGGCAGAAGTCCTTGAGGAGGACCACAACAAAGAATGCTGGCACATCTGAACTATTTTTTTGGGACTGAAGTCTTCTCTGAGAGCAGATTCTCAGCCTGCCACAGCTTGTCCCACAGCTCTGTGTGGTGCTGGTGAAGGAAGTGCAGCAGCTGTGTGTGAAGGAGGAACTTACCCAGGGCATCTGGGAGGTGATGAGGTGTATAAGTGAGCTTGACTCAGCTCTTGAACTGTTTCATCATGGATGCTGGACATCCCCAGAAGAGACGCTGCCATTCACCTCCTCCAGCAGAAGTTTCTTTCAAACAATTTTTGCTTTTTCTCACTACTGAGGAGTCATGAGAAAAATCACCTTAGATCACATAGTCCTTTACCCCTGGCTACAAACTTTGGCAGCTGATTCAGTCCCAAACCATCACATGCCTGCTTTGCAGTGGAGGTCTGTAGGTGTGGGATGGATGAGTACTTGGGAACAGATCTCCCATTGTTCTAAACTCTTGTTTTTCTTCATGGAGAGCTGGCTGAGACAGTCTATTTTTAACCACAGTAGTATTTGTTTAAATAAGACTTCCTGACAGAAAGTCCCCAAAGTTTTGGTGTTCCCCACACCTAACCTGTGCCTAATTCCTTTGCTAATGCTGCCTCAGAGCTGCTGGGGGGAGTTAGCAGTGCCCCCGAGCAGGATATGCCTCTGTGCTCTTTTTTTCAGAGAGCAGAGTGAAAAGATGGTTTGTTGGAGGTAATCTTAATGGAATACAAACTCCCCAGCCTTGGAACACAGGATCACACCAGGTCACTTCCCCTTCCCCACTTCAAACAGCACAGCGCTTTAAGCCGCTCTGTCTCCATTAGTGAATTTACCACATTCTTCAAGGTGTCATGTGCTGCAAACTTCGTGTTGGTTTCTGCTGATACCAATGCTTGCTGGCATTTTGTAAACCTGCCACATAAAGTATAGCAGCCAAGTCTATCCCTGGTGCAACCCTGCTTAGACAGCAGTGTGGCCCAGGGTATTCAACTGCATTAGAAAGTATTTTGCATCCAACGGGGTATTGCCTGCGTGCATGAGGGTCTGCAGTCAGTGGGCTCATGTCAGTTGTCTCCTTCAGAATTCCCTGAGATTAATTCTTGGATCTGTGGTCAGTTCCAGAATATTTCCCATTTTTATGAAGGAGGGGCCAGACTCCAGCCTGTCTGCAGGATAGCAACGGTCAGCTGAAAAGGAAACTGCAGCTGGGTTTGCATCTCACTCCAGGCTCCCTGGAGAACTTGTCTGGCTAAATATATGCAGTCATGGAGTGGAGGGCTTAGCAGGGTGCTGCAGAGATTTTCCCAGATGAGTGCTAGAAACACTGTTCATTAACACTTCTAAATTTATTATGAATATATGTGTATTAATACTTTTATTCTGTAATATCTGTCAGCAGTATATTTAGGGAAAATTCTTGGGTTTGCTTGCATTTAGTTCACACTGTTGCCCTTGCTATGCTAAATACTTGATGTTTGCCTTTTAACTGACTCTACTTTTTGCTGCTCTTTTCCTCTTAGATTTAACATGCCACACGATGACAACCACAAGTGCAAGGAAGATGGAGGTAAAAACCAACAGCATGTCATGGCACCAACACTGAACTTCTACACCAATCCCTGGATGTGGTCAAAGTGCAGTAGGAAATACATCACTGAATTTCTGGAGTAAGACCTTGCATATGCATGTGTTGGGCTGTTTTCACATATCCATGTGTTCCATGGAGTTCTTCAGTTAATTTGGAGCCCTAGTGTGCAGCGTTTGGAGGAAATCAGAGGGATTTGTGTGTGCACGCATCCTTTACCTAGAGCAGGAATGCACCCCTGGCATCCAGTCCCTGCCAGTTCAGCCTCATGATAAGCTGGCAAGGACCAGCCTCTCAATGGGGAAGAATAAGTCTTCCCCCATGGATATTGCTTTTAAGGAATGTGTGTTCTCCTCAAACCTGAAGAATGACTTTCCCGAGCTTTGTGGCCCAGATACGGAGCTGTGTTTTAGAAGGCAGATTGAATCTGCCTTTCTGCTCCACAGGTCAAGATAAAGCCCTGGCACTAATCCGTGTGGGAACACCGTTCCAGGAGCCCACGGGTCAGTCTGATGCACAGTGATTTGCCCATTTTGCTGTCGTGCCTTCCCGTGTGTTGTGGTGTGGAACAGAATGAGAGCCATGATGGTGTTCTGGCAAATCCAGGAGCTCAGTCCCTTGGGCAGTTCTGCTAATCAGTGATTTTTTTTCTCTGAGTTCTTTATAAAAATGCGCCAGTGCTTGCTCAGCAACTAAATGCACACTCAGAAATGCTTTGCCATGGTAGCTGACTGTGGTGTGGTGGATGGTTGCTGTCACAGCACAAGGGTGATGGTGTATGGGTAACACACCCTCCTGTGCTTGAGTTTGAAATAGCTCTTGTAGTGCTTGTTAAATATGGCAGACGTGGTGTGCAACTGCCCTACAGCTAATTTAGGCAAACACAAGGGAATTCTGATCTCCCACCTTCTGTTTAACACCAGTATTCTGATTTGTGTTGTAGCACTGGTTATGGGGAGTGTTTGCTTGATGAACCTTCATCAAGAACTTACACATTGCCTCAGCAGCTCCCAGGGCTGATTTATGACGTCAACAAACAATGTGAGTTAATTTTTGGACCCGGATCCCAAGTGTGCCCCTATATGGTAAGTGAAATTTCACGCCTTATTTTTCCTGGTTTTGCCAGAGCAAAATAAGGTCTCCTGGGGTTGGATGAATGGCAGACTCACAATCCATCAACTTACTGTCAAGCTTGTGAGTTAATGATAAATCCTGGGGGGAATAATTTCATAAAGGATCATCTGTCTGGCAAGGCATGTGGTACATGTCTAATGTTTTGATCTCTGCAATCACTCGAGCAGATGCAGTGTCGGCGACTTTGGTGTATCAACGTCGATGGTGCTCACAAGGGATGTCGAACCCAACACACACCTTGGGCTGATGGGACAGAATGTGAGCCTGGAAAGGTCTGTAATACCTGGTGGTTTGTGCCTCGTGGCTCTATTTCCCTGGGCTGAGGATGAGCATATCAGTCAGAATCATCCTTTCCTAATGCCAGTTGTGTGGGGCACAGCTCTGACTGCAGTGCTGGAAGCCCAAAGCAGCTCAATGTGTTTTCAGCCTGGTGGTGCCTGGGACATCTCCAGCCCAGATACATTATTAAAGTCAACTGCTTGGTGTAACATTGCTTAAAGCAGGTATTCCTGGAGTGCTTATCTTCTTGAATTAATGCCCTTGAGTGAACTTTTGAGCAAAACTTTTGCAAAGCTTCCCTAAGCTTTTGTTAGAAATTGCCTGTGTGATGTGAGCAATTAGTAATTCTGTGTAACATAAACTTGTCAGCTGGCTTTTCATCTTGACAGCTTCAGAGTAAAATATAGAATTGGTTGACATTTTATGTATGGAACATTTTTGGCAGTAATTCATAGAAACTTCCCGTTTCCATGTGCAATGTTAATTTCCAGCTAGCATTGTGGTTTCTAGGATAAGTGTTTAATTTTTAGTTATTCATATCTGTAGAAAAATAGTTGAGAGCATTTTTCTTTTATTGAGATACTGAAGATTTTGAATTAAAATGCTAACTGCTTCTTACTATTTGTGTCTGAACAAAAGTATTCTCCATCTGTGTCTAGTAAAAATAGTGTGATGTTATTCTACATGGTATAGCTTAAAATTTTGCTTTTCTGGCTCTCAAGATAAACATTAATAATAGTACTTTTTTCTTTAGAAAGAGTCAGTTTTAAATCTTAGTCTCTCAAAGGTACTTTAATGAAAATTCTGGATGCTATTTTAAATATAGTTTTCCATACAGGCTGTGGAACTCTTTGGAAATTTATCTTTTGATGTATGTGTCTGAAAACTTGATTGTTCAATGACACTTGACTGACTTCCTTCAGGACAATGAGCATCATGTATTAATTTGCCTTCCTTTCTTAGGGAAAAGTGCAATTGCAGATTTGTTTTTATAGCTGAGAAAGGGCATTAGAGATATAATTGGAATGTCTAATGTTTTTCTGTAAAATCCCCTTTTGAGCATAGGTGTCTGCAGAGTCCCTATGACCTGAGACCTTGTGCCCTCAACTTCTCTGTTGGTGAGCTTGGGATCTGCTCACTGCTGAAAGATCAGCAATAACATGGAAATTTTCTTGAAATTCTAAAAATCTGGCCTGCAGCAAACCTGCACTTACCCTTGGATATGACCAGAGTGATGTGCAAACAGCAGCAGCTGAGCAGATCAGCACCCCCTCAGAGCCGCCCTGTGTCATGCAGTGTCCAGCTGCATGGCTCTTAATAAAGACTGTGTGAGCAAAAATATGTCAGGCCACAAATTTAGACAATCTGACAAGTTTAGGCCAACTAGGTAAGTGTGATCTGAGTGTCTCAGCTGGGAGCAGATGGGCTCTTAAGAAAAGTTAATGCAGCCCACTCGTGTTCAGGTATTTAAATGTGTTCTCACAAAAGGGCTTTATGGAGTAATTTTGCTGTCTGTGTGTTCATCTAATTCAAGCTTAAAGTTTGAATCAACATAAACTCTGTCCTGCTTGGTATTTGCTTGGGCTTGTGAAGTGCTGAGGTGTGAGTCTGAAGTGCTTTTCCTTGGAATAAATTGTTATTTTGGTACTCTGCTGTGGCCAGGAGCCCTATCAAACTGCTACTTGCTGACTAATGCTTCAAGTCTGCATGTTTAAAGCCCATGCTGTATGGGTTGGCAGATGGAGAAAATACCATACCATTTTTTATGGAGATATCTTTGGAAATAAGAGAGCCTGAATAGCTAAAAAAAAGATCTAGCTAAAATTACTGGGATGTAGATTTAACTGGGCTCTAAATTTACTCTTAAATCAAGGGCATTAAAAACATGGGAGTATTAACTTACGCATATTTTGCATGTGAGGACACTGAATCTGATACTGCTAAATCAAGCCATAAGCCCAGCCCAGAGTCTGGCTTTGCTGGGTGATGGCTTTACCAGGTTCCACAGAACCAGCTCTTTGTTGGGTGGAGATAAATCTCTGAAGGAAGATGAAGGGGGTTGTAAATTTGGGCCACTCTTCGTTGTGCTTTTCAGGGCTGTTTAAAGAATGGTAAGAGTAGAGCAGATGAGCAGTAATGATTTGTGTCTGCTGCCCTGTGGCAGCAGGTAGGGTGTCTGTTATGCATGCATGGAGCTGCACAGCCCCTTCTGCCCCCTGCTACTCCATTCAGCCAGCCCAAGGATGGCAGCTGGATTTGGGGAATTATCTGGAGCTCTGGTGGCAAGACAAAGGAAAGGAAAGTCTGCTGTAATGTCTTCCATCCCTGCCAGGGCTCTCCAGCTCCACTGTGTGTCTAAGATATTTTGAATTTGTTCCAGACAATCTGCCTTTTATTCTCTTCATTCTGTGAGCTGTAAGCTTATAGGAAAGAGAACCCTGGCAGGCTTTTTAGTCTTTCTGCTGTATCTCAACATAGAAATTATTTTTAAAATATGAAAGGCATAAAGGTTGCACAGCCAGACTGTTCACGGTGTGGTTCCAAGAAGCACTATTGTGTTTTCATAAGATAATCTTGCTGTTTATTTAAAACAGCTGCTCTTTTCCCCTGCTTTGCTTTACCATCAACTCTAACCCCCAAATTTTTAATAAAATCAATGGATGTAGATGACTTCCTGGTTAATACTCAACCATGAGATGGGAGACATATAGGTCATGTCACGGTCTGTGAGCTCTGTTCATTCACTAGTTAGCTATTCAGTCATCTTCCCTGGGTCAGTGGTGCCAGGCATGACTCTGGTTAGATATTTAGCTGTGAGCATCAACATTGCTGCAAGAAGTTCTCCACAGGGACAGCACTGTTGGATTGGTGTCATGTATTTCTGTTGTTTAATGATAGCTGTCAGACCTCTTTGGACCTGTATAGGGACCCCAGCCTTCAGGTTTTCAGCCTCTAAATGCCAGGAAGAGTTGTGCATTGTAATTTGTCCTGCAGCAAAGAAACAGGCATTTCAGCTGATTTTATTGCTGAAATTTTATTTACTGTATCAGATGGGTTTTAGTCAGTTTTATCTTCAGATGAAAGCAAATCTGGGGCATTTTGCAGCCTAGAGACCATGGTTGTCTCTGAGCAAACGCCACATGCAGGACTCAAATTATGAGTTCTTCAGCTGTCCTGCAAACCATGTCCATGGGCAAATGTACCTGAGATCAGCTTTCCTCTTCAGCAAAGCTATGTAAAAGTCAGCCTTCATGGGAAAAGGTGTCCTACCTGCTGCAGAGCTGGTGTCCTGTGGGATGCACAGCCCCATGACAGCTTGATCCTGTTCTGTTTTCCTAGATGGCTTTATCCAAGGTGGTTCATAAAGGTGTCTAAAAAAGCAGGATGAGCTTGTGGTATGTCTTGATACAGTCTTGTTGTGCTATTAGTGGAAGGGCTGGAAAAACACAGTGCATCAGCAAATTTTACCCTTTTGCCATAAAGATCATCAGATCTGAACAGCACCTGGTGCACAGAAATACTGCAAGGGAATATTTTAGTGATGCTCTCTACCTGCATTCTATAGTCTGTAGCCTCTTCTAATCTGTGAGCAATCAGCAATGTTTGGGCTTCCCATAATTACAAAGATTTAGGCATCTGCATGTCTCTGGGTTTAAAGCAACTGTAGCAAGCACTGTTCACTGAGAAGGGACATTTTCCATCTATTCTGGTGAGGCCAGAAGGTGACTCTTTCACTTCTGCAGAAGTCTGTGTAGTCCATGTGGTAAACATACCCCAAAGGATACAATTTATACCATGAAAATAGGGATAGGGGCTTGCCAAGGTAACTTAATCCAGTTTTCCAAACAAAAGAAAACGAGTCATAGCTGGAAAACAGAAGTGTAGACCAAGTCTTGGCAAGTCCCATGTTATGTCTGAGTGTAAAAAAAAACCGACTTGGGCTTGAGGAATTAATTTTTCTCTTTTATTTGCCTTTTGGATTTGGAAGTTTTCTGCTTTGGGTAGCTGTGGGGAGGTTTGAGTTTTCCCTGGTGTTTCTCCTCATTGCCTGTCTCCTCCCCTGACAGGGCTCTCCATGCAGAGTTTCTGCAGCTCTGCAGGAAATCAGATAGAGCAGCTTTTTGAAAAGCCAGTGCTGCGAGCTTGCTGTGCTGCTTAGCGCCAATAAACAGGGAATATTTAGTGGTTGCTGTTGTCTTTAGTCTTCATCCCATAAATCATTCCATGGACTCAGCACCTTGCCTTCACTCTGCCATTTAAGGGTATGGAGAAAGAGAAATATGGGGGTGACAGACAAAAGTAAAAGCAGTTCAGTTTTATTTGATTACAAAATCATTGTGTGGCTGAGAAATAAGTGAGGCTGAGTCTCGTTACTCAGGCTGGTCACTGTGGGTCGTTCATAATGCAAAGCAGCACAATCCCACCTTTGCCCTGTGTCTCCTTCACGCGCAGCACTGCAGGTTTGGGATGTGTGTGCCCAAGGAGCGGGAGGCGCCGGTGACAGACGGAGCCTGGGGCACCTGGAGCCCCTTCGGGACCTGCTCGAGGACCTGCGGCGGCGGCATAAAGACGGCGATCCGGGAGTGCAACAGGCCCGAGTGAGTGCACAGGGGGAGATGGGGAAACGCACTTTGGGCTGCCCAAATGGGCTGGAACCAACTTGGGCTGCCCTCAGTCCTTGGAAGTGCCAAGGACAGGTGGCTCTGCCCTGGGCATGGATGGCTTTGCCCGACATGGGTGAGGCAGGATCTGGTAATTGGTGTATGGGTGAAGTGCTCTAAAAAGTGATCCATCCATTCAACAATGAGGGTTAAAAAGCTGATACCTCCATGTGTTTATTACCTTCTGTTTTCCTGTGGAGGCACAGCTGGGGTCCCACTTCCAGAGGTGTTTTTCTTTCTCCAAAGCTGTCAGAAAGGAAGGAGCCTTCCTTTTTCACCATTTTATCCCTGCTTTGGTTGCTTTTGCAGCTGTTCCTAGAGGCCTTTATAATAAGGTTTTCTACCGTTTTATTCCTGCTTTGTCTGGTTTTGCAGCTTTTGGCTGCTTTTGCAGCTGATCCTTTATACAGTTACATTTCAGCTGGTGCAGACTAGCCAAACCTCAGCAGAAATCTGTGCCCCATTAAAAAGTGGTACTCGAGAATGTTTGCTATCAGCCTGGAATGCAAAATCCTGCACCATTTGAAATGGCAGGGAATTTTGCTGTGGGCTTCAAGGAGACAAATATGTAGCTGGTGCAATAGTAACAGCTTGAGCAACTGGTATGAAAACAGCCTGTTTACGTAAATTGTGAATTGTGCTGGTTTCTGTTTAAATGCCTTGTTGCAGAAGGGAGGCTCTCTGGGCTTTTATTTGGGACTGAGATACAGGGAGGTGAGGGTCTGTGGGGCTGGTTGCACTGAGGGGTCTTAAAAAGATTCCTATTTCTCATTACTGGTGTTGGATGGTTTATTGCCAAGAAAATTGCCACTAGAGATGTGCCAGTGATAATTTCATCACTGTTAATGGGAGAAGGGAGAGCTTATGCCCATGACACTCGTGCTGTGGTAACAGGAGAGGCTGCTCAGCACAGCTGGGCAAGTGTCAGAAGTTGAGGCTGAGAGAGTAGGACACCAGCATGTTAATTAAAACAATGCTAAGAAAAACACAAGTGCAGAGAGCTCTCCTCTGGCTGTGCTGAGTCAGCACGCTCCATATGGTCTTCTGTAGCCATGGAAAGACAAAAACAAAGCATCTTTGTAGCTCTGCTGCTGAAACTTTGGATGCTGAGATGTATTCCTGTCTTCTGAGATGCATCTATTCAGACTGATAGCTTTTTGTGATAGAAAATCTCCTTTCATCCTAAAGGCTAGCCAAGGGATTTGAAATTCCATTTTCCCTGATTGCTTGTGGTTTGTATCCTGGTGCTTCAGTAGATGTATTGCTGTGGCTGGGATTTGCAAAAGCACCTAAACACACTCTGCTCCAAGCTGCCTGAGAAATCCTTGTGACTGATAGTGGTATTTTCCTTTCCTGAGCCTTGTGCTGGCACTGGCCTCTCTTCTCCAGCCCCTCACAAGGTCTTTGTGAGGAGTAGCCTGTCCTGGCACCATCCACAGAGCTTCCCACTGATTGTTGTTGGTTTGTAATTTGTTGTTGTAATTTGACACCACAGTGTGAGCTCCCACCTCCTGTGTCCCCATTATCATGGGGCTGCTAAAACAATGCAAATGGATGAGACCCCACTGGATATTCTCTTGCCTTTTCCCCTTCTCAATGTACTTAAAAAGGAGGCAGTCTCTCCTCTGTTGTAGAAGGCAGCAAACCCAACCCAGATACCTCTAGTAAGGTCTGAAATAATTCTCAATAAATCTTTTCTATTCAAAGTTGGTTTAACTTTTTAAAGTTTTTTCTGTGCATGAGAATCTGGGGTGGGATCTTGCATCCAGTAAAAAATTGTGTTAAATCTGGCGTTGAAAATTGCATCCATTCCGTCCATGCTGCAGAAAGTAAAGCTGCAGTTCCTGCCTCTCTACAATTTGTAGAGTGCTCTGACACCTACATGATGAGTGTCCTGCAGGGATGCAGGGAGAGCTCTAGGCCTCTGGAATGGCAGCAGACTGTTTTGACATACCCTGAAGGAATGTGTTTGCTAACCAGCCCAGACCCTTCCCACTGAGATTGCCCACATGGGAATTTGAGCCTGGCTGGTGGACAAAGCCCATGGCTGTGGTGTATCATCAGAGGGGCTGTGGTGCAAGCCATGGTTTTCAAATAAAGACGTTGCAGAATTATGGGAAAAGGCATATTTGATAACACGTCAAAAACAGAAGCCCTGTTTTCAGGAATGGCTTTTTTGGATGGGGGGTCTAATCTCTGGATGTGAGTCGGATCACATTTGCATTTTAGTCCATCACAGAGGTATCCACCTGTGCTTAACTGTCTGAGCCTGACATGTAAACAAATGTGTAGATAACTGTGCTAGCCACCAACCAATTCCCAGTCCTAGGGCTTCTTGGAATGTGGGGAAGGAGTTCTCAAACTGATCTGTGCACACTGGAGCTTCACAGATTTTTGTGCACATCCTCAAAATGCTCAAGATGATGGATTGAGCATCATGTATTTCAGACCTGTTGGGGTGGGAATGGGGATGAGACCCCATCATTCCCTGGAAATGAGAGTTTCTGGGCTGCTGGGAGGAGTGCAGTAGGTCTGGGGTGTGTGCAGGAGCCTGGGGGAATGGTACTGGATTGAAAGTGGGTCCATGCAGCTGTTAATTGGTCAAATAGATGACTCCAAGAGAAGGGAAATTGAAGGAAAAAAGGTTTCTCTGCATGTATTACTTTCCCTTCTGACTCTGTGGTACAGTGTTGATGATCCATAAAAATATTACACAGAACGAAGTATGCTGTATTTCTTCATGACACTGAAAATTGATGTTATATGAGGGTGGCTTCTTTTTCGGGGTCAGCTCTTTCTGTCCCTCAGATTCTGTATGAAGCAGTGCTGGTTAAAAACACTCTGAAACTGTCAGGGAAGTTTGGAGCTGTTTTTTAAGTGTCAGAAGTGTGAGTGTGCTTCGGCCCCCAGCATTGTCTGCAAGATTTCCTGCCAGGGTTGCAAAGCTGACAGTTTGCAACAAGGTGGCAAGCTTTAGCATCCTTCAGTTTGTGGTGTGTCCATGTGTCAATGTTATCTCAATCTTAGGGGTCACATCTAGTGAAGAAAAAACTAAATAGTAGCTTGAGATTTTTGGATTTTATTAGATATACCTTAAAAAAAAAACTCCTGCATGTTTTTCATGTCCTCCTTAACTAAATAGGTGAGAGTTTCATTTTAGTTAATTGATTTATATTGGAAGCAATGTGGTTGCCATAAAAATGTTGTAATTACAATTTTTTTTTTAAAAAAGAAATGCCCACTTAAAGGTTTGTATAACTCAGAGATTTTGTCAAACTGCAGCAGTCCTGCAGAGGTACAAATGCTTTTGAAGTGAAGATGATGAATCCTGTTAATTCCCCCATGAATGACTCAGACTCAGCCAGGTCTGGAGTGTGCTGTTGCCATGATAAATAAAGAAGTTTCCCAGTATGCTGTGTGGTTGAGATGTCCCTTTGTAGCTAAAGGTGGCTCATGTGGCTGCATGGGAATAGTCCATGGGATGGGCTCTGGTGTTGGGAAACCCCCAGCAATTGCCATTGTGCCTGCAAGGCAAGGAGGAGTTTGGGCTGTGTCTGCAGGAGCTGCTGTGCTGGGATAGCCCTGGAGCTGTCCCAGGTGTAATCAGGTAAGTTCTTTGAAGTTGTTTGTCACAAGGTGGACAACAGACTACTAAATCAGTAAAAACCAGGTTTAGACTTACTCCTCCACTAGGAACTGTAAAGGTGTAAAATCAGTCTGTAATCAGCAATCTGCAATGGCCACTGTGCAGTTGCTTGGGCTTTTTATCACTGGTACTTGCTTAATTGCAAACACCAGAAACCTTTGTAAGTGACATGCATTTCACTTCCAGATGGCATTTGAGAACTGCCCTCAGAGCAGGTAGAGCTGGTGTTGTGAGCTATTGCTCAGGGCTGTGCCTGAGGACAAATCATACCCTGTGGTATTTAGGGTAGGACTAGAAGGGTCTGCACCAGAGCAGTGAGGATCTCAGTGACTGGAGGATGCTGGCAGGAAAAATCCCACGTGTGTAACTTGTGGTGCCCAGCATCTCATCTGCAGCTGCTCAAGAACTCAACTCATTCTGCCAAACCTGTGAGCATCCCTAGTGTGGTGCTGATCGGGTGGTGGGAAGTCTGCCTGCCTTTCCTGGTTTTGCAGGCAATCTTTTGGCAAGAGCAAGCTGTTCTGTGCTTCTGTCTCTCATTTGTTTCACAGGAACTTTGCTACTTGAGTCACAAAGAATTTTCAAGCGTAAGAGTGAAGAATTGTTATTTGTGGGGGAAATGGCACTGCTGGGCTTCCTGAGGTGCAGAGATGCTCAAAAATTCTGTTCAGCTGCAAGAACCTGTTGACTCACTGTATGTAGAGACCATTGTGCAGGTGCAGGGGAGTGCTGTCTCTTTTGTTAGAGGTGCTGGCTGCACACAACTTGAAGATCTCACGGTGAGCACCTCCTTTGAGGACAGGGGTGGCTCCCATTTATCACTCATTCATCTGCATCTTCAGAGTTCTCCAAGTATGCAAATTTTGTGTGTGTTCCTTCCCAACCAAGCTCCAAGGGAAGGAGCATTCTGCCAGCATCCCTGGGGCACTGATGGGCACCTGGTTCCCAGGCAAGGCAGAGCTGATCCTGAAGAACAGCCCTGGAAGGCAGGATTTGTGGGTGAATGGTTGTTGGAGCCTGGCAAGTCACTCTTCTGATTGCACTCCTTGCTACTGCAGGCACCCATTTTTCAGGGTGTAGATAGAAGATGTAGGTTTGGTGGTTATTTTGATGTGCAGCTCATTCTTGCACCATTGCTGGCAGCAGAAGGAATAGGAGAGGCTCTTTCAGTCCCCAGAGTGATGTTCTTTGGCAAAGGCTTCATCTACATATGAGAAAAATAGTTTTATGACTGCAGCTCTGAATCTGTGAGTCAGGAAATTTAAAATGAAAGCTTCTAGGCTTTACCACTGGGTTTTATGTGGCTTGGATGGGATTTCTCTTCCCAGTTTATACCAGTGTCATCCTTCTATAAAATGGGGGTAAGTTATTTATTGGCTGTCTTTGATGCTTTCTGGAATATATGGAGTTAAAGTTGTTTAAAAGTGCTCAGCATTACCATTTTTAACATTTGGGGCTAGAAATCCTGAAGGACTAAGTGCTGCCTGACCTTTCAGCCTCTGCAGGGAAGGAAGCCTTTTCTCCTGTAATGTTTAGTTATTTGCAACCTACTAGATCAAAGGCAAATTGTCAGCCACAAAATCCATAGGACTGATGGGGTTGTAAGGAAACATGGGCCTGAGTGGGATCCCTCAATGTGAAAATAAATCCTCAGGTGGGGAAGATGTTGTGCTTCCTTTCTGCTTTCTCTCACGACCATGGCATCCATGTGAAAGTAAATATTCTCTTTTTCATCCCTTTTTATTGCATATGTGGGATTTTTTTGTAAGACACCAGCATAACATTTCCTGCTTGTCAACCTGGGATATTTATTAAAGATATGCAGAAAGACAGAGCGCACAAAGTGCTGCTGCAAATCCTGACTGTACCGACCCAGTTGCAGAATTGCAGTTCCACCTCATTTCCAGCCCGGTGTTGTCTCTGCAGACCCAAAAATGGTGGGAAATACTGCGTGGGTCGTCGCATGAAGTTTAAATCCTGCAACACAGAACCGTGCTCAAAGCTGAAGAAGGATTTCCGGGACGAGCAGTGTGCTGACTTTGATGGGAAACACTTCAACATCAACGGGCTGCCCACGAACGTGCGCTGGGTTCCCAAGTACAGCGGCAGTAAGTGGCTGGGGGGATGCAGGTCCTGCCTCCTGGATTGCTGCCTGGGGTGAGGGTGTTCAGATAATGTGCTCCTGGTGTCCCTCCTCCTCCTGCAGTCCTGATGAAGGATCGGTGCAAGCTCTTCTGCCGCGTGGCGGGGAACACGGCCTACTACCAGCTGCGGGACCGTGTCATCGACGGGACGCCCTGCGGCCCTGACACCAACGACATCTGCGTGCAAGGCCTCTGCCGGGTAATCACTGTCCCTTCCTCACCAAAGGGGGATGGCAGTTTGGTAGGGCAGGTTAGTGCTTGTGCACTGTGCTCCAGGCAGGTGGTGGCATGTCCTCTGCACTCAGAGGATGCCTATCTATTACCAGCTGTGGGACTGCGTCATTGACGGGACACCCTGCAGCCCTGACACCAACGACATCTGTGTGCAGGGCCTCTGCTGGGTAATCATTGTCCCTCTTCTCAACAAAAAGGGGATGGCAGTTTGGCAGGGCAGACTCGTGCTCCAGGCAGTTGGTGGCATGTTCCCTTCAATCAGAAGATACCCATTATCAGTTGTGGGACCGCGTCATTGATGGGACACCCTGCAGCCCTGACACCAATGACATCTGTGTGCAGGGCCTCTGCCGGCTAATCATTGTCCCTCTTCTCAACAAAAGGGCATGGCAGTTGGGTAGGGCAGGCTGGTGCTTTTGCACCATGCTCCAAGCAGTTGGTGGCATGTCCTCTTCACTCAGAGGATGCCTATTAACAGCTGCAGGCTCTGTAAGCCCCAAATGGTCTGAAACTTGTGCCAGCCTCCAGATTTGCCCAAGAGCCACACATGGAATCATAGGATCATTTAGGTGGAGACCTTTGAGATCAAGTCCCACCATTAACCCAGCAGTGCCAAGTTCACCACTAAACCATGTCCCCAAGTGCCATATCTACATGTCTTCTAATACTAACAGGGAGAGTGACTCCCACCATTGCCCTGAGCAGCCTGTTCCAGTGTTTGACAACCTTTTTGGTGAAGAATTATTTCCTAATATCAAATCTAAAGCTCCCCTGTTGAATGTGAGGCTGTTTCCTCTTGTCCTGTTGGTTGTTACCTGTGAAAAGAGCCTGACCCTCACCTGGCTACAACTTCCTTTCAGGTAGTTGTAGAGAGTGAGAAAGTCTCTCCTGAGCCTCTTTCTCCAGGCTGAGCTCCTCAGCCACTCCTCATTTTAGTCTAGACCATTCACCAGGGGACACATTTAAGTGGAACATGTTTGCACATCTGCCCTAGGTTACTGAGGGCTGTGGAATCTCAGCCTAAATCCCAGTGTTGCTTCCTTCTGTGTTTTGCCCCAGTTCCTCCTGATCAGGCCCCAGAGCCCTACATTTCCATTCACAATTGTTCTTCACACTTTTCTCTACAGGAGCAATTGATGCAAGAATTTTTTTCTAGTGAAAGCATTACCTGGTGCAAATAGTTGTTCTGATTCTTGCTTTGTAAAAAAGCCTTTTGTTGTAAAACCTTGTAGGATGGCCGCACTGTAAATCAGTGGAAAAATGTGGGGAAGCAAACCAGTTTATCTCACAGCAGCCTTTTGCATACACAGCTTTTGTGTGCCTTAATTAGGAGATTTGTCAGTGCTGTTCTAGTCTGTATTTGCTCAATATGTTTTTTTCAATTTTTCTCTTAAAGCAAGCTGGATGTGATCATGTGCTGAATTCAAAAGCAAGAAGAGATAAATGTGGTGTTTGTGGTGGGGATAATTCTTCATGCAAAACTGTTGCAGGCACATTTAACACGGTGCATTATGGTAAGAATCTGTTGCTAAAAACTTTATGGTGAAAAAATGTGGGTCTATAAAAGCCATTACAACACTTAATCTACAAAAACACCGATGTAAAACACAAAATCCTTCTAGCTATAGTATGTTCCTTTTTATAACTATTTATGCTGTCCCTAAATGAAAAGTATCAGCTTGTGTAATGTGAAGTAACTTAGCTCATTTCCCTTCCTCTGCAGAAAACAAATCAAGTGCCTGTGTAATAGCCTTGACTTTCTGTTCCATCTTTCCTAGGTTATAACGTTGTGGTTCGCATCCCAGCTGGTGCCACTAATATTGATGTGCGTCAGCACAGTTACTCAGGGAAACCAGAGGATGACAACTACCTGGGTGAGTTGTGTTCCTTATGTCACTCCAGAAATCTGCTTGGTTGTCTGGCTGTGGTGATGTATCTACTGGCAGCTCTGTGCTAGAGAGGTTGAAGAATTAATTTGAGGGAGATGTTTTCTTGGTGAGAATTTTTCTGTGTGTGCCACATTTTGCGTTTTCTTCTTTTTTTTTTTTTTTTTTTGTTCATGCCATCCTAGTTGCAGGGTCTGGGAGGTTCTCCAGTTATAAGAAATATTCCCTTAGGGTGTGTCTAGGGCTGGGAAGAACTGTTGAGCCTGGGTGGTAGCTGAGGGACAAAGCTGGGAACCAAACAGCATTCTGAGCTCTGCTGGAGTCTCCTCACTGCAACTTTATCTCTGCTGTCACCATGCTTTGTTGGTGCCATGTCCTGAAAGATGTTTGTAAACACACACAAAGAGAAATTATTTTCTATTCTTCTGAGAATAATAATTCTGATTTCAGATAGTGAGGCCTTCTTGTCCCTGCCTGATAGTGACATGTAACTGTAAAGAAATACTCTGCACCAAAGATATTGGTTTGATTTAAACCTAACAGTAACTTGGCCTTTGGCTGTTGGAATTTCATAATCACTGTTCTCTCTAATCTGTGGCTGTGTCTTTAGAGGCAGATGAAAATGTTTGTGGTGCTGTGTTAGACCACTGTGCTACATGCACATATATGCTGCTAGCATGGCCATGAGTGTCTTTTCCATCATGATCACTCACCCCACAGATAGTTCTGTTTGGCTTCAATAGCAGAGATAATACAAATGAGCCTCACTACTGATGTTACACTTCCCAGCTTAAGGCTGATTTTGCCATTAAGTCCTGTCAGAGTCTCTGGTCCTCCTGTTTTGCACGCCCTGTGTCTTGCACCCCCAGCTGTGTTCCAGTAGCACAGGGTCCTGTACTTAAATCTTTGAACAGGGCACTTCATCTTGTTCTATCTCACCAAGTTCCTGTAACTAGGTGTGTTAAAAAGGAGAGTTGGTTGGTGGCCCCTAGCCCATCAAATGTATAGGGAGTCATTTGAGAAACAAGTGCCAGAGACCACCGTGCACCAAAGGGAGGCAATGACAGCCTTGCTGTTGCTCTGAAATGCCATCCATGTGCTGTACCCTTCGCTGAGGCAAAAAGTTGAGATGGTGCAGCATGAATGCACATCAGCACCAAAAAAAGGTCTCACAGTTTTCTGTCTTGGAGGAGGGAGCCAAATTTTATTTTTCCTCTTTCCTGGGAAAAACAATCCTCCCTATGTTGTGCCCTTTCAAACTGGTTCACCCCAGAAGGAGCCCCAAACTTCTCAGCTCTTCTTGGAGGGCCTTTAATCTTCTTGGGAAACAATGAAGTCAAATCTTCTTTAATGTTGCTTTAATATTGCTGGGAAAGCATCTCTTCACATTAGGCCTGACTGGAAGTAAATGAGAAGTGTGCATGTGTCCACTTACTTTGCAGCTCACTGAGTGTGAAATCTTGGGCCCTCAGTTACTGTGAACCTTGTAGTTTCTTAACAATTTAGGAGGAATTTGATGTTGTCATCAAGTCCAAGATGTACCTACTGTTATAGGAGATATAGTAAAAGAGAAGTAATCCCCTAATGAGTTTTACTACTGCCTAATAACATTAAAACCTCCGAAGTGTGAAACTTGGTTGAGTGTAGCCTCTGCTTTGTGAGGTTTTCTCCATCTATGTCTTTTTGGTACTAAGCAGTGTTTTGCTTCATTATCTCTCCTCATTCGATGGAAAAACTTTCCCTTTGGTGTTTTGGTGTTTAGATTTTTCAGTACAGGGGCTTTTTAGTAACACAGCTGTGATGGGTGAAATGGTGGGGAAACTAACTTAGGAAATTAGCTACATAATCGCATTAGTGTGAAGTTGTGCAGCAGACTGCTGTTTTCAGGAAACTGTTCCTTTTATAAAGCATTTAGGCTTTAAGCCTCCAGTGCTCTCACATACCTTAAGATTTGGAATAATAAAAAGTATGGGGGGAGGAGGGAGAGGGCAACCAAGGGGGAAATACTGACCAAACTCTCTGTAATTATATACTAGAAATTATGTTTAGGTAATTAGGGTGCATACATTTACCCTAAGAACACACCTGGAAACACCAGGGAAGACACCCTATCCACACAGCTCATTAAAAGTTTTGGGCAGGATTATTTCTGCGGTATATATGGGGATACATCCTATGTGTGCTCCTTGCAGCAGCCAGCCCAGAATGCCTTTTGGATACCTCTGTTTTGGGTTATGGATGAACTGTTTAGCAACAACTTCAGGAATTCAGCCTTCATTTTTAGGAGGCTTTCCAGTGGAAAAAGGAGAAGGCAGAATGTCTGCAAGAGCTCTGCTGCTCACTTTACATCCTTTTTGTTTGAGAATGCCAGTGGGCTTCCCCCCCCACCCCCCCACCAGAGAAAGGAGCACTGAGAGCACATGACCCACGTTATTATGTATGTATGAGTTAATTCTGCCTCTTTAGTTATTGTTTTTTGCACCTATGCAGCCTTATCTAACAGTCAAGGAGACTTTATATTAAATGGAGACTTTGTCGTCAGTATGTTTAAAAGGGAAATCAAAGTTGGGAATGCTGTGATCGAATACAGTGGCTCCGATAATACTGTTGAAAGGATTAATTCTACAGATCGGATTGAGCAAGAAATAACACTTCAGGTGAAGTATATGTTGTGTGTATGGAAAAGTCTGCCCAGTATTGTTGGACTGAAAACAGTGGGCACTGATATCTGTTGATTTACTCTGCTTCATTTTTCTTCCTCTCAGGTTTTATCAGTGGGCAATTTGTACAATCCTGACGTTCGTTACACATTCAATATCCCTATTGAGGACAAACCTCAGCAGTTTTACTGGAATGAGCATGGCCCATGGCAGCCCTGCAGTAAGCTCTGCCAAGGTGGGTGCTTGGGAAGTACTTGCCCTGTGAGTATTGTTGTTTCCCTGGACTGCAGTGGAGAATAACATCCTATAAGGTGGTTCTGGGTTTCAGAGCAGGGTACCTTACAGCCCCTCCCAGCCAGGTGAGCCTCACAACATGCTTTGCAGGTGAGGAAGCTAAAGCACAGAAAATGAGGCATTTCCTAAGGGTGGCCACCCTGCTAAATACTCAGAGCCCATCCTTATGGGGGTACTGAGCTCTCTGCCTGTGTCCATCCCATCTACAATAAACGCTTTCTGCCTTGCTTAGTCTTAAACCCCCTCCCTGTTTCGGACAGAGGTAGAAAAGCACACCTAAGCATGTCTTAAATATTACTATAAAAGGTGTAGTAGAAATAGCTGAATTGATCACTTTGCTGCTTGACTGAAACCAAGTGCTGGTTTTCTTTGCAGGAGAACGCAAAAGGAAGCCTGTGTGTAAGAGAGAGTCAGATCAGCTCACAGTGTCAGACCAGCGATGCGATCGACTTCCCCAGCCTGAGCCCAGCTCCGAGCCTTGTAACACAGAGTGTGAATTAAGGTGCACTGTGCTCAGCCATGTATATAAATAACATTGTGTACTTATTATTTACTCCTCTTTCCTTTCGCTTCTCACCCTAATTCTGTTTCTCACCAGCCTGTATTAGATTTTGAAAAAGAAAAGGATTGGTAGTTGCCTCTTTGTCAACCAAGAGGGATTGTCATCCACCAGTGGTGTTTTGAAAGCCACTTTTCAATGTTTTTACATTTCTCTTGCTGGATTCAATTAGAGCTAACTATAACAAAAATTCTCTAATGTTGAAAAATCTCCCTGTGCAATACAAGGCCTGAAATTTGCATCTGCCTGGATCAGAAATGCTCAGCGCCATTCTCCATACAGCCTGCAGAGAAGGGAAAACATACACTTAAAGCAAAAACGTAGCTAAGACTTGGATTTATCACTGTTTATTTAAAGCAAAGAATAGGCTTAAGTGTAGAATGGGTTTGGGGCTGTCCCCAGACAATTCTTGGCAAGCTGGAATTGATGAAGCACAGTCTAAATCATCACAACCCATTTTCCTTTAAAAAGCAATCTGTTTTCCTTCCTGGGGCTTAAATGTGGTGGCATTAAGCCTCTGCTGGTGAAGCAATTCAGAAGGCTGAGTTTCCCGAGGGGTTTCTGCAGCCCTGTTAAACCGGGGCTGTGCAGGGGCTGTGCGGGGCCGGGTTGTCGCGGTAACAGCTGTTGCCATTGCAACAGGTTGGAAACTTGAGAAGGGCAAAACAGGAGTCTGAAAAGCATGCAGGGATGTGAGGCTCCCACCAGTCAGGAGCTATTGATTCCAAATCCCCTTGATCTTATTCTTCTCTGTGCTGTGATAGAGTTTGCTCTCTTGGCTTGGGAGTGGGGCTCTGTGCTCCCGGCACAGGCAGCAGCCCGAGGGTCTCCAGGACCCTTAGAGGATGTCACTGCCTCCTCCCCCAGAAGCCGCCCCTGCCAGGTGTGAGGGGCAATGGGCTCCTGTTGGCTTCAGGGTCTCCAGCACCTCCCTGGATCAGGTCTCATGTCCAGCATCTCTTTTCAGAGCTGGGCTGATGTGAAGCAGGGGTGTATCGTCAAATGGTTCATTTGAGGCCTCCAGCACCATCCTTGTTGTCCATCTCACAGAGGAGGCAGCAGGGTGGAAATCTGTCAAGAAAGAACACCTCTAATCCCTGCTGACACAGCTGGGGCTTGAGTATCTTGTAGCAAGTCATTTGCTTGTCCTTTGGAGAGCTGAAACTGCTTTGTGGGCGTCGTGTATTGTGGAACACCTCTCCAGCTTGTGCAGATCATTTTCTGATGCGTATTTTCCAGTTTTTAGATGCTGAGGTGGAGCACAGGGTAGAAAGCTTTCAGAAGCTTTCAGAGCACTGTTCCTTGCTTGGCCATGAACTCCCCTTGCCACCTTGACTGGTCCCACAGGATTCCAGTGTGGCTTTGCTATCTTTCTTTTGCTTAAGAAAGACCTTTCTGCCAGCTCCTTCCCTTCAAGCAGCAATGCCAGGCTAATTGCAAGTCCCAAAGCACTGGGAAGCGTGACACAGAGCCAAAAAACTTCCCATTCAAGAGCATATATTCCTTATTTCTGTGCCACACCCTTGAGCACGTTCCCTGCAGAGCCCGGGGCTGACGTTTGCTGTCCCTGGTGCAGGTGGCACATCGCGAGGAAGAGTGAGTGCACGGCGCAGTGTGGGCTGGGCTACCGCACCCTGGAGATTTACTGCTCCAAGTACAGCCGGCAGGAGGGCAAGATAGAGAAGGTGGATGATCGCTTCTGCAACAGCCAGACCAAGCCCAGCACGAGGGAGAAGTGCACTGGAGACTGCAACGTGGGAGGATGGCGCTACTCGGCCTGGACTGAGGTGAGGGATGCTCTGTGGCACAGAAATCTGCTCCGTGCACAGCAGCACATTGGGCTGTTTAGGTTGCTAACAGAATATATGTAAAATATGGCCACAGTGGTTCTGCTTTCATTGCTTCCTCTGGAGGACACTCTAGTCTGAATCAGCCTGGTACTCCGTACCTACCACTGCAATTAATTGTCTCATCTTCATTACATGAAGCTCTGCTAGCTGCCATCAAAGCTGTTACCACTGCCAGGAGCTGGGGAGGACATGTTGCCATCATCAGAGGACTTCTGAAATTTGTTTCCTTTACACATCTTTTTGCATTAACAAGAATATTCCTGAATGCAGGCACCAAGAGCCTCAGGTTTTCCGGGGAGGGCGCAGTGAAGGGGGGCTGGCTGGTCAGAGAAAGTTAATCTCTCTTAAAATGAGAACAAACAGCAGCCATTTAGGAGAACTGAAAGGCAACACTTGTAAAAGTAATAATGGGGTTATGTTCTGAAATTAATTTGAGAAACACATTGCCACGACATTTTATTAAGCTTAGCAAGATTAGCTTTTTAAAGGAATACATAAAGTAAAAGCCTGTTACTTGAAGTATAAGTTGTTGCTCTGGAGGTTTCCTGCAGTCACTCCACAGTGAGAGGGCAGGCAATAGCAGTAGAGTGGCAGGAAATGTTGACTCTTTGTGTCCCTCACAGTGCTCCAAGAGCTGTGGCGGGGGCACGCGGCGGCGGCGAGCCATGTGTGTGAACACCTACAATGATGTGCTGGACGACAGCAAGTGCAGCCAGCAGGAGAAGCTGACAGTGCAGAGGTGCAGTGACTTCTCGTGCCCACAGTGGAAAACCGGCGACTGGTCAGAGGTGAGTGCTGGTCACCAGGCTGGGCTCACCCTGCTGGTCCTCCACCCTGAGGGGCTGCTGTCTGCAAACAAGTGTCTCTGTCTCCATCCCTGCTTGTCTGTCATGATTTGTTTGTGCCTCCTGATGAAGGTGGCAAGCCTGTGCACAGGGAGGCTTCAGACAGGCAGTAAAGTCATTGGCCTTGTGGTCAAGTGGCCACTTTCCTCCCTGCAGAGCCACCGTGGGTTAATGTCTCTGCAATCCTGCAGTAATTTCTCCACAGTTTTTCTGTAGTTCTGCTGTGCATTTGAGAAGAAAAATACCTTCTGCCCTCATTTTCCCTTAAGATTGTCCTCAAGAGCCCTGGCAGCTCTGGCTGTCACTGGAGGGCAGGATTGCACCCTGCTGATGTTTTGCTCAGCCTCTCTCTGCTGTTTATTACTGCTTCCACTGCTGCTGGTGTTTTTTGCAATGCAACAAAACAATCTTGATAGGTTTGTCTCTGCAGCAGGACTGGGGGTCCTGGAGAACAATCTTCAAAGGGTGCTCATCTTCATTGTAGCCAAACTTCTCTTTTTTCTGTGAATCATGTTCTTTTAGGGCATAATGAAAGCAATTAAATGGGAGCAGAGATTTTTTTCTACCAAACATGTCTTCTGATTCTAGCTGGTGGCAGTCCAAGCCATGCCAGGGCAGTGGGAGAAGTGCTCACAGCCTGCAGAAGCCAAGACCCTTAACATGCACACTCAGAAAGAGCAAGTGTTTTAGAAACACCCTGTTGTGCACAGCTAAAACCCCACAGGGCAGTGCTGTGCCTTTGCCCTGTGTCTCAGAGCTACTGGAATTCAAGAGACTTTGTGGTCTCACTTTGCCCATGCTGAAGGATTCTAGCCCAGCTGTGCTCTCCATGATCCAGCCCCTGCTCTAGACCAGCTCCTGAGAGCAATCTTCTTGGTGACAAGACACTCCCGTCTTTCATGTTGATGTTAGCTAAAGAGCTGCACTTCAGCACCAGTATTTTTTTAACCAGTGATTGCAGTAGAACTCCAGATTTATTTGCCAGGGCAGGTGCTGAGCTGGCAGTGCATCCCCAGCACCACCTGAGCTTGCACTTTTCTCCTCACAGTGCTTGGTCACCTGTGGAAAAGGGCACAAGCACCGCCAGACGTGGTGCCAGTTTGGAGAAGATCGATTGAACGACAGGTTTTGCGACCCCAAGACGAAGCCGGAGTCAGTGCAGATGTGCCAGCAGCAGGAGTGTGCCTCGTGGCAAGTGGGGCCCTGGGGACAGGTACCACACAGCCCCACAGGGCTCCTGCCTGGGGGGACCTGGATGAGGGTGGCTCTGGGGCTGGGCGCTGCCCTTTCATCCAAATTCAGCAGCATAACTGTGTTAATTGATTTGCACACCAAAGCAGCCCTCTGTTTGCTCGGGTTCAGTGCATAGGCAGCAATAACAGTACCTGCCCTTTGTGCTAAATTTAATCTCTGTCATACTGAATTGGCCATGATTTTCAAAAAAAGGGGTTTCCAAGGTTACGCTCCTAAATCCATATTTAGGCACATAAATACATGCCCTAATTTTCACAGAAAAGCTGCTCACATTGAATAACTTTGGTTGCTTTCAATGTTTTCCAGTTTCTGGTTTAGTGAGGGTTTTTTTCTGTTAAAATACAAGTTACTCATTCCTCCCAGAGTGTTCTGGCATCTGCTTTTTCACAAAGCTGTTAGCTCTTGACTTAAAAAACAGCAGTAAACCCAGACCAGTTGTCCCAGTGAGACATATTTCCCATCAGTAAAATTATTCATTAGCTGCTTGTGCTACCATGGGGCTGAACAACCAGTTTTAAAGAAGGATATCATACAGGTTCTACCAGACTCTGATTCTAATGTGTGCAGCAAAGTAAATCATTTCAGTGTTCCACCTTCCTTCCCAAAGAAGCAAGTGAAGCGTGCAAGGCACTGGTGGCTGCAGCGAGTTAAAACTTTGACCTAATTTAAAGCTGAAATGCATGAAGTGGAGAGAAACCAGAAGGGAAACTCTTTAATTTTGCTGCTTCTGCTACATGCCTAAACAAAGACTGGGCTAATTAATACTTTCTAACCAAAGCACCTACTCAGACCCAGTGCTCTTTTCTCCCATCTGTCTTCTCCCAGTGCACTGTGACTTGTGGCCAAGGCTACCAGATGAGAGCAGTGAAGTGTGTTGTGGGCACCTACGTGTCAGTGGTGGATGATAACGAGTGTAATGCTGCAACCAGACCTACAGATACCCAGGTAAATCCTGCTCTCTTGTCTCCATCTCTTCCCAGTGTGTGTATAGAGGCTTCCAGGCTACAGGTTCAGGGGACATCTTGCTGCAGCAAAGCTTTGCCCTGAATGCCAGCTATGAAGAACAGTACTTTGGGCTGCTCATGGTTGTTGGAGAGATGCAGCACAGCTCCCTGCTTTGGTAGAAATGGGATAGATAAACTGTGTTCAGGGAGTTCCCATCCAGATTCCAGATCCTCTCCATGTGGTTCACCTTACTGAAGCACCAGATTGCCAGAAAAGCAACAATGTATGAGGGTATCAGGACTTCTTTGGTGAAGATTAATTACCTTTGCTTATGGTTTATATCCATGGAGCTCTAGCAATGAGTTGTGAGGGTGTGTTCAGATGCAGCACTATAGCTGGAGTCTTAAGAGCTCATGAGCTAAAGAAGCTGCAGTGGATTAATCTGTAATAACAGTAAGGGACCTCAAGGTTGAAACATATTTACTGGCCTCAGAGGTTCAGGTTTTGACACAGCAGACACCTCCTTTGGCTTGCATGGAGTCAAGGATGCCTGGCTGCAATCTGGGCTCATGTGGCTGCAGGACTGTTGCTGTTGCCCCGCACCACAAATGATGGTGAGAGGCCATTTATTGTCTGCTGCATGTGACAATGTAATGTTTGTGACAGCTGTAGTTCCAGACACGTCCTCCCTGGCCAGATAAATTGAGAAATGTTGCAGCCCCTTTGCAAATTTGCTGAAGAGGCTTTCCATGCTGTGTACTTGGAAGCAAACATGTAAATTCCCATTTCAAACAGAGGATATGTCCAAGGTGTCTGGAGAAGCTGGATAAAACAGAACATTACCATCTATCTGTCATCTAGGAGAACTGTAGTGTTCATGCCCTGTGCAACTTCAGTCTTGCATGAACTCAGAGTTTAACCAATGCCACAACATTTGGGAAAGAGCTGTTTTTCTCATGTATGGACACCAGTTGCACTGCAGTCAAGGGGTAACAAACCCACCTGTCATCAGCCATCATTTGGCATGCATGCCTCCAGCATAAGTGAAATCACAGCAAACCAGAAATTGGGTTTGCCATTTGTCAGAAGCGGCTCTCCCCCTCACAGCGACAATCACTCTTAATTTCCTTTTTGGCAAGGACTACTCAATGGAGTAAAGTCATGGATGTTCATAGTTTCTGACACCAGACCTCCTGGGAGGGCCAGACAGGACCAGAGCCCTGCTGTGAGGCATTGTACAAAGACTGAGCAGAATGACACGTCTGTCCCCAAAACCTCACATTGCTTGATGTGTGGTGGAAGTCAGCACATGGATATAGGTGGTCTGGTGGGCTGCAGGGAATCAAAGGGCTGCAATCAGCAGCATAACCTTTATTGTGTGGGCTGCAGGTCTCACACTGAAGGAAGGGAGCTTTGAAGGGAGATAAAGTTGCTGTTTTGCAGATGTGTGTTCATGCCAGAACATTTAATGAACTTTCATCTTTTGCCTCAAAAACATCTGGTTTTAATGCATGGAGATGGCACATGGTTTTAGGGATCCCTATTGTAGAGTTCCTAATAAGTCAAAAGTCCACATAGGGTATTCCATATGAAGGCCTCAGGAAAGGATGCTGAGTTTTGCTGATTCACCAAGGGGATGCAGGGAGGAAGTTGCCTGCACAATGCATACAGGTCACAGAGTTTCAAGATGTTGCCTATTCTCCATAATTATGTTGAAGAGGAGGTGGTTTATTCAAAACATCTGAAAATTCTTTATTTCCTATTTTTCTCCCATGTATTTCCTGTACAGGATTGTGAGATAGCTGTATGTCCTCCCCATCCAAATAGTCCTGAAGCCAAGAGAGTCATATCAGGTGTTCACAGGACACAGTGGAGATTTGGATCCTGGACACCGGTAAGCACACATCACAATACTTTCAGGATTATTTTACAGTAGACAGTGTGATATTTTAAAGTACATATGCCCAGCTTTTCATTACAAGTCCTTGCAATGTATGTCAGGCAACTTCCTAGTGAAGTGCTCTTTGCTCTTCCCTAGTGCTCTGCAACATGTGGGAAGGGCACCCGGATGAGATACGTCAGCTGCCGGGATGACCAGGGCTCCGTGGCTGATGAGTCAGCTTGTTTCCACCTTCCAAAGCCATCAGCCACAGAAATGTGCACCGTGACACCGTGCGGGCAGTGGAAGGCCTTGGAGTGGAGTTCTGTAAGCATCACGCTGTCTCTTGCAAGAGACCTCATTGCTGCAAATGTGCTTCATTAATCTGTCGCGCTTGCCCTTTTATAAGTGAGGTTATTTGGGTTTTCTGCTGTTCATTATTAGCAAGAGCTGGTTTTCTAAACTGGAAATGTGACCGTGTCTCCTTTTCCCACTGTAACGCAGTGCTCGGTGACCTGTGGTCAAGGTAAGGCAACGCGACAAGTGATCTGCGTCAATTACAGTGACCAGCTGGTGGACAGGAGCGAGTGTGACCCCGACGACCTCCCTGCCACCGAGCAAGAGTGCTCCATGTCTCCTTGTCATCCAAACAGCCATGACTACGGCAGGCCCATGCCCCCTTTCCTCTATCCGGACCATCGCCTCAAGCCGCACCCTGGGGGCAGCCCCAACCGAAACCGTGCACAAATACCAGGAGGCAACCAGTGGAGGATTGGCCCCTGGGGTGCTGTAAGTGCCTTGATTCCCTTATTCTTGGGTTTTGTTGGATTTTGTTTCTTTCCCAAGCTAATCCATATTTTCTTAAAGTCAGCACAACGGGAAATGAGAGAGGGACCTTTCTCCCCACTCTCTGCTCTCTGCTCACACAAGCAAGTGTTGCAGAAGGGCTCAAGCATCACTTGTCAGCCTCTCGTACCTCGTATCTCCAAGGCAGTCTAGGCAGAAAGCTGACAGCATCATTTTCCATGAGGCAAAGGCCAGCCTCTGATTCTTGGCTGTCTCCTGGGGCTTTTACAGCTGTGCAGGGTTGTTGCCAAAGCACGGCAGAGCCTCGATGCCAGCTCCTCTCACTGCAAACAGTATGCAATGCTTTATCATGGAAGTCTCTAAAGGGAATTGAGCACAAATGGGATGTCAGACACTGCAACAGGGATTACTCACCTGCTTAAAACTAGGCTGGTGTTTACTTTCTTTGCTTAGTCAGCACCTAAGTCATTGCACTGCTATTAGCCATAGCTGGGTTTTGAAGTTTAATAATGCCTGTTAGATGAATTAAACTTCTAGCAGTGCATTCCCACGGTGCAAGGTACTGGGAAGGAGCTGGGAATGCAAGCCTATTCCTGGACTAAATGAAGCTCTGGGCAATTGTGTCTTCCAGTGCTCTAGTACATGTGCAGGGGGGTTCCAGCGGCGGGTCGTGGTGTGCCAGGATGAAAATGGATACACTGCAAATAACTGCGATGAGAAAAGCAAACCCATGGAGCAGAGATCCTGCGAGTCTGGCCCCTGCCCTCAGTGGGCCTATGGCAACTGGGGAGAGGTGAGTGCACTTGCATCTGGGCTTCCTGCCCAGGGCAAGACTTTCATTAGCAGGTGGCTGAAAAATGGGAGAAGAGAGGGATATTGTGGTGACATTTATTAGAAGGATTGGAACTTGAAGGGCATCATCTGATAAATGAGTGAACCCAAGCAATTGTTGGGTGGTGTTTTCATTTCCATTTGTCATGGGGAAACTTTCTTTCCAAGCAAAAGTACGTTTTACAAAAATGAAGATTTTTTTTTTTTTTTTAAAGAGAAGCCTGCTTTAACTGAAGGCCTTTTTTTTAAAAAAAGCACTGCTTACTTTTGAAAATTAATCTGAGATGAACAATTGGAGATGTAAACCTCCATTATCACATTGAGTTGGCAATATCATGGTGGAGCAGCATGACCAGCTTTAGAGGGAGAGAAGCTGAGGCAGCTGAAGGTCCATCTGAGGCTCGTGAGGGAGATTTGGCTGGAGTGGGTTAGTTTGGAACAGAAACTACCATTGGTTTTTTGAGGTGCTTTGGGCAGCAGGTGATCAGTGTTTTTGCTGTCCCAACGGTGATTGCTCTGTCCTCTGCTGACTTGCAGTGCACAAAGCCATGTGGAGGAGGGACAAGGACACGGCTGGTGGTGTGCCAGCGCCCTAATGGAGAAAGGTTTACGGATCTGAGCTGTGAAATCCTTGACAAGCCACCAGACAGAGAGCAGTGCAATGTGCAGGATTGTCCTAGAGATGCTGCCTGGAGTGCTGGTCCTTGGAGCTCGGTACGACCATAAACTCTTTCTCTTTATGAACTATTTTGTAGATATCCCCTAACAACAATTAATTTGCTTCAAACCAAGGTGCTAATGCTTCATGTCTTAAAACTGCACTTACAGAGGATTATTTACTATATATTCAGAATAACACCTATTCAGGAAGGGCTTACATTAGGGGAGCTCTGGTCCTTTAATTTAAAAGGCACTTTCTGCTAAGTAGCAACCTTTGTCCATTTTATTACACTTTGCAAGTGCTGTGCATTATGAATCTTGGTTCTGGCTAAGTTTTTGCATATGGATTTAAACCGGGAATTTAAGCAGTACATTTCCATTGAAGTTAAATTGTTCTGCTCTTTAATGGTAGTACTGCACTGGGCACCTACTGGTTTAGCAGTGATTGTTCTCTGCCAAAGGCAAGAGAAGTGGGGAGAATGTGCTAAATGGCATCAATTCCCAGGCATGTATAAGTGTGTATAGATGTGTGTGCATGTGGGCACATGCCCACACACAGACCTACATAGAAACGTGTGCATTCACACCTGTGCTCTGTTTCTGTTCCTGTGTATATAATAAGACTGTGATGTACAGTGCAAAGGCACCTGTAAGCTATTCTTGTGCATCTCTCTGGTTCTGGAGAGTGATTGTCTAGCTTGATCTCCAGCTGCTGCTTTATCACTAATCCAGCAAATGATCAGCCAGGTGTTGGAAGGCTTAAAACCCTGGCAGTTTCCCAATAGCAAAATAGTATTTGGAGCAGAGGTGTCTTACTTTGCTCCTTTGCTGCTGGAGGAGTCTGCTACAGAGATGCTCCTGTGAGGGCAGAGCAGCCCTGAACCGTGGGGTTGGGGTGCTGTTTTGGGTGCCACACCTTTGCAATTGTCCCTGCCCAGAGCAGCAACCTTTTCTGTGAACCTGCACCAAAGCAAGTGTCACCTGAGGTGCTTCTGGAGCCCTGGAAAACCACAGACCTGTCCATTTTGGAGTGGCCTTCAAACAGATGTAAACCTTTATTGTGTATTTTGTTATAAAAGCATTTGAAGACAATTTTTTAAAAAATCTGATTCAAAAGCACTTTATAGGAAAAGAAAAAAGAGGCCTGTTTTTTAATGTACTGGACTTCCTCAATTGTCATAGTTTGGAAAGTCATCTTGCCAAAACCTGCTCTCCTTCTGTGGGTGCTTTCAGTAACATGGATGCCTTCAGTAACACTCTTCAATATTTTTATCATACCTCAGTGAGCTCTGCAATAGCCATAAACCTTCTGAACTGGTGTGTATCCGGTGCTTCACCAGTACAAGAGACAGTGCTATGAAATATTTCATTTGAGGTGCTAATGTACCCCTTGTCCATCAACCTGCCTGGTGCTAAGGAAGAGCGAGGTGAGGTAAGCAGAGGTAGCGAAGCGTGTGCTGGCTGCCCCACAGGACTTGCCAGCTGGGAGGTGCCTCCAACTTTGTTTTACCTGTGCTGGACCATTTTCAAGAGCCAAAGGTGTGGACAGAGTTGTGTTTCGTTCTTCGTGGCTGTTGAGGAGCAGGCTCCAGGGCTGCACCTGCTTCTCAGTGTTGGAAACACAGGGTGCAGTCCTCTAGTCTGGTGGTTTTCTTTTCACCCAGGAAAAGTTCCCTTGGCTCCACTCTGATGCATTAGCCTCAGTGGGTTGTCCTTGCTCTCCTGGGAGCAGGTGGGACATCTGGCAGACAGGTGAAGGGCAGGGACACCCTGTCCTGCCTGCAGTGTCTCCTCCCAGCTAGTGCAGAGTCACAGCCCTGGGGAAGGGGCTGCAGGACTGAGCCCCCGTCATTGCCATGAACTGATTTGGTTTTTCAGTCACATTTACCAAGGTGTCCTTGGGCTCTGACATAGGGGACCCAGAGCTGTTTGAAGACTGAGAAGTATCTATGGGGTCCCCAGGGCTTCGTGTCCCTCCAGCAGAACACTCCACGTGTATTTCTACCTCGTGCTACTACTGTAGGTAGTAACGGCCAAACTTTCCTCTTTACTGTGGTGTCACCTGGACTTGCTTTAGCTCTGCCATCGGTTGCAAACATCATTCTGTAGCTGTACATACTTCATCTGTTGGGATGGAGTGTCACTACCATATTTTTTTGGTCACTTTTGAAACAAGAGTATAGTATTAGCTGAAACTTTTCAGCAGTATGGATTTATGTATTTATGTAAAAGTGTATTTATTTTTCCAATACTGTTATTTAATTTTATATAAATATTGCATACATTTACAATGTTTAATGTTAATGTTGAACAGTGAAAATTAAAGACAAGTAGAATGTAATCATAAATGAATTTGTATAATTTCTTGAGTCTTTTGCTAAATTCAGATCATATACTTAGTTTTGGTAACTTTTGCTAAATTTTCTGAAACGGTTCTGCAATGTTCCATCTTTTATCTTGCTTTGTTCTCCAACAGAAATTGTCATTCTCAATGATTAAACAAACACAGTTAAAGGTGTATGAATTACAAAGTTTGGATAACTAATTTCTTGCAATCATCTTACTGGCTTATCATTACTCAAGTTTCAGTGAAATTAGTAGTATAAAATACTTACAAATTAAAGCAGAGAGTCTGAAGCACCCAACCCGCAGTCCTCGGGCAAAATTCCACTGGGATTTTATACAGTAAACAAGTGATCTTTATGTGGCTGGTTAAATCCAGGTTTGGAAGAGATAATTAAATGGAAAAACAGATTGTATGTGTAAATGATAATTTTACAACAACAGACTGGTGAGATGTCTTGTCATTTTAATGTATGTTCAAAGAGGACTAAGAGGAGGTGACACTTTTATTCCCTTGCTTATTTAAGAAGATGTATTTACCCATTGCAGAATTGTACACCGTGTGATAGACCTGACCTTTTTATTAAAACCATGCTTTAGAAAACGTGCACTGACTGTCACCAGAATACAGAGAGTGTTTTTTCTCCTCTGAATGCTTTGTGGTATGAATGCAGATTTCCATACACACTCTCGAATCCTGAGAGGAAATCTTGCTATGTTCTCCAGGATGAGGGAGATGTTCTCAATGAGAATTATCCATTGCTTCACTTAAAACCCAAGGTTTGGTTTTAATAAATATACCCATATTTATACCACATATATAAAATATATGCATAACCTCCCTTAAAGCACTTGTTTTGGAGCAGATTTGCTCCATGCAATAATTTCTGATATTTTGAGTTTGCCTTAATATCCAACTGTATGCTGATACAGTTTAGGAACAATGCTGAATTAACTTATTGTGGGCTTCTCATTCTTTCTGAGTTAGGAAATGGTCACAGATAAGGTAAAACAATTCTATCTTACAGCGCCCTGCTTCAGTTGGGTGAGTCATTTGGGCTTCACTGCACAGGGCAGTGATCATTTGACTTTAAACTCTGGAAAATGTGTGGGTGAGGTTTAGATTTATTTGGGGTTTGGGTTTTTCTCCAAAAAAGTATTATAATTTTAAAAGTAGTCTGCCTTGTCAGGTACTTGTCAGTCTTGGGTATCTGAAGTTCAAGCTGCTGGTGCAGTGGTTGTGCAGCTCTCAGTGCTTCCCAGCTCTGTATCCTGCAGGCAGAGGTGCTGGAATCAGAGTCTTTGAGGGCCTTTTGCTCTAATAAAGAATCAGAAGCTTACTGTCAAGCAATTAGAACATTAACCAGCTAAGTTCCAAACTCTCTTATTGTGGATGTGAGTTCAGGTTTGGGCTAGGGCATCACTGGTTTCCCTTGGTGGGAAGCTGGTGCCATTGATGGCTTTGCAGGGCTCTTTGGCTGCACACAGGGACAGAGCAGCAAAGGAGCTCTGAACTGGGAAGTGGAAGAACTGCCTGGCCAACATCTGTGTCAGGCAGCTGGCACTCTGGAATTTTAATCTTAAAGTTGATGTCAGTGGAAACTTTGGGTTATTTGTATTTAATTCTGTCAAAGCCCAACATGTTGTTCACAAAATGCCTTCCCCGTGCAGCTGGCTGGAAATAGGCTGCTCAACAGCAATATTCTCTGTGTCATTGTTCTGATAATGTTCATAGCAGGCAGGATGTCAGGTCTTGCTAAGGCAGAAGTGATAGCCAGGGACAGATTTGGTTGCAAGTGTATATAACTCTGCTGTTCCCTTCTTGTCCTCTGCAGAAAATGAATTTGCTGTGACAGCAGCATTGCTGAACTGCTCTTGGGGTTTTGTTTGAAGAGTCTCAGCCTGTTGCTCCTCTGAGGCAGTGGTGATGGATGCTCGTGCATCCCTCTCCTCACCTCAGTGCTCACAGCTGGTGGCTCCAAGGCAATCACAGGTGGGCAAAGCCAGTGCTACCCAGCTGCCCAGTAGAGTCACATCTTTTTTTTCATCTCTTTTTACCCTAAAATCTCCATTTTTTTGTTTTCCTTTCCATTTTTATTTTTTGCCGGTTATCGCCATCTTTCATTGTTCTGTTTCTACTTTAAAAAGGAGAGAACTGCATAGGTATACTTTTGTAATCAGTTCTCTGTCTCCTCTGTGCTGGTGTTGATGCTGCATCAGCAGGAGAACAACCATGGAAGCCCATCAGTGCACCTTGCAGGTGAGGGACCACCCTGGGGCACTGTGTGCTTAACACTGAGCCAGCACCTTAGTGATTCCTGCATCAGCTCCTCACAGGGCTGATTTCCTGCAACTTAAAGCTCAGCTGTTGCAATCCACTCTCTCCCTTGCAAGCCCCCGTTGGTCTTTACACCCCTCATGACCTTTTAGTGTGATGGAGAAGTAAAAGGACTGGTCAGCAATGTCCCTTCTGACCTCCTTAATCCAGTGAATAAATGCAGAGGAAGGAGCAGGGAAAGGAGCTGCAGAAGGTCTCATCTGCTGTCCTTTAACAACCTCTCCTGTTGGCACTGCCAGCACAGACAGGAGCTGGGCCAGTGGTTAGGCTCACAAAGGTTATTTTCAGGTATCTTTAAAATCTTCTCATCCCTTTTGTCCCCAGACAATGCATCTTCTCCCCAAGTTCCTCAGTGCACTTTCCCACTCAGAGC